GAATGATACTCATAATAGTCACCTAACATTTATTTGCTTATTTATTAATTGCTTGTTTAAAGGGGGGATCAGGTGTATAAAAGTTCCCTAGCATATCAGTTAAATTGATAAATCTGTTATATCTTACCAGGAAACCAGATGACAAGATATAACAGATTTATTAGTTTTAACAGATATGCTAATGAAGCAGACTTTTTCGCATATGTTAAAATACAGTACAGGATGAACTGGATTTGGAAATTTAAACTTAGCATCTTAGGCGAGAAATTTGAAATGTACTGTACAGTTCCATATTTACAATGCTGAAATAAATGAAACTGTGAGCAACAACATCGAGCATAGGAAATGTTACTGTTTGTGTGTGTGTGGGGGGGGGGGAGAAGAGAAATTTAGTAAGGTATAATACAAATTTTGAACAACACAAAGCAGGAATTTTAAGAGTTGTACATAAATAGTATACAGTACTAACAAGATGAAGAATTAGACACATGTGCAACATCTGGATATCTTTGTTTGTAGACGTTTGATAAAGCCACTGGTTGGCGACACGTCTCATATATATCTAATTCTTCATGAATGCATTATTTTATTTACATTATAAGCAGCTTTACATCATATTAATATAATAATATCTAATTTGGTAAAGGCAAAACTGCTAGTTTGTAATTAACTCTTTCCTAAATCACAAGAGAATTTATCCTTGATGTCCGTTGTTCACATATTCCACAACTGGCCATTAACTGAGTAGAGCAACCATAGCCAACAGCGGAGGAAAGCACAACCGTAGCCTGATGACCACTGAGACGCAAGCAGTCTTGGTGGTGGCCGCAAGTAGACACAACTCCTTCATATCAAGGCTTCTACATCTCCGTTTGACACAATATTGGATGCCGTCAGCCAGAAAAGTCGTGCAATTTTATTCTCAATTCTCTAACAAGGACGATTTGACAAGAAATCTATATTTACACAAACTCAAAATACGTCTGTGTAACTTACTTTAAAAAAAGACGTTTGATTTTATATAATTTTATGGGGAGTTTGCTTTCAGGAAACATCCCAAGTAAGAAAATTCAAAACTCTCTGTTGCTAGGCTTCAGCCACACGTCACCAGACATGCCTGCTGAAGGGTCGGTGTTACATATGTATATCCACAATAAACAGGGAACTCATGAACAGGTATTTGTCAATACGAGAATGAGGAGACAGATAACTTGTGACGTGACGGAGATAACAAATATAATAATAATAATAATAATAATAATAATAATAATAATAATAATAATAATAATAATAATTTAATTTTATTTTGACATGATACATAGTAGTACAAAGGAATATAATAGTTGAGTGTACATGTCACAAGACCCTTGTATGCAGAGCATTTCGGGCATTTCTTCTACTTCTTCTAGAGCTAAACTGAATATATGATAAGTAGGAAAACGAAGCATATACAATAGACAGCAGAAAAAGTGAATACTTTAAAGTGCATGGTAACCATAAAGGCAAAACAGCAAAAAAATATTGACACATGAAAAGAAGACAACATTGGAAACCAATATAAAATAATGAACCAATAAATTATAAATAAGACACGAAGATAACAAAATACTCAGAAAATTTAAGACTACATATAGCAGTTACCCCATACAGAAGAAAAAAATGTTTAAGTACTATCCAAGAGAGTAAATTGACGTATAGATGTAGATATCTTGACCCCAGTGAGTGCTCGTATATGTCGCCCTAAGATGTTGCGGACCACTGCAGAATCAAGAATTCTGTGTTCTGAGGTACTCAAAATTTGGTATGAAAAGAATATATCGATATAAAATTATATAAGATTTTTAATATATGTATAATGATATTTCTCTTTTGTCACACAGAGAAACAAAGTTAGAGAAGAAAAAAAGAAAAAAACTCTGAGATGCAACAGGTGGCACTGAACAAACACATGAACACTGGAACGCAGAAATCCGATTCACACACACGCACACACACACAGACACACACACACACACACACACACACACACACACACACACACACACACACCACACACACACACACACACACACACACACACACACACACACACACACCTGGAACGGAACAAGATTATAAATGACAACCAGCACTGATTCGTGGAAGGCAAATCCTGTGTCACAAACCTCCTGGAGTTTTATGACAAGGTAACAGAAGTAAGACTCGAAAGAGAGGGGTGGGTTGACTGCATTTTCTTGGACTGCAAGAAGGCTTTCGACACAGTTCCTCACTACAGATTAGTACAGAAGCTAGAGGTTCAGGCACGTATAACATGAAGGGCACTGCTATGGATCAGAGAATACCTGACAGGGAGGCAACAACGAGTCACGGTACGAGATGAGGTATCACAATGGGCGCCTGTGACGACCTGGGTTCCAAAGGGGCCAGTTGTAGGACATGACGGAAGGGATAGACTCATAAGTAACCCTGTTTGCAGATGATGTTAAGTTAATGAGAAGAATTAAATCGGAAGAGGATCAGGCAGAACTCCAAAGAGACCTGGACAGGCTGGATACCAGGTCCAGCACCTGGTTACTCAAATTTAACCTAGCCAAATGCAAAGTCATGAAGATCGGGGAAGGGCAAAGAAGACCGCAGACAGAGTATAGGCTAGGTGGCCAAACTCTGCAAACCTTGCTCATGGAGAAAGATCTTGGGGTGAGTATAACACCGAGCACGTCTCCGGAAGCACACATCAACCAGATAACTGCAGCAGCATATGGGCGCCGGGCAAACCTGAGAACAGCGTTCCGATACCTTAGTAAGGAATCGTTCAAGACACTGTACACCGTGTACGTCAGACCCATAATGGAGTATGCAGCACCAGTTTGGAACCCACACCTGGTGAAGCACGTCAAGAAATTAGAGAAAGTGGAAAGGTTTGCAACAAGGCTGGTTCCAGAGCTAAGGGCAATGTCCTACGAAGAAAGGTTAAGGAAATTAGACCTGATGACACTGGAGGACAGGAACGTTAGGGGAGACATGATAACGACATACAAAATATTGCGAGGAATAGATAAGGTGGAGAGAGACAGGATGTTCCAGAGATGGGACACAGAAACAAGGGGTCACAATTGGAAGTTGAAGACTTAGATGAGTCAAAGGGATGTTACGAAGTACTTCTTCAGTCACAGAGTTGTCAGGAAGTGGATTAGTCTGGAAAGTGAGATAGTGGAGGCAGAAACCATACACAGCTTTAGGACGAGGTATGCTAAAGCTCATGGAGCAGGGAGAGAGGGGGGACCTAGAAGTGATCAGTGAAGGGGCGGGGCCAGGAGCTGAGTCTCGACCCCTGCAAACACAAATACGTGAGTACAAATAGGCGAGTACACACACACACACACACACACACACACACACACACACACACACACACACACACACACACACACACACACACACACACACCACACAAGCACACACACACACCAACACACACACACACCAACACATACACACACCAACACATACACACACCAACACACACACACACCTACGCACACACACACACCTACACACACACACACACACACACACACACACACACACACACACACACACACACACACACACACACACACACACACACACACACACACACACACACACCACACACACACACACACACACACACACACACACACACACACACAACACACACACCACCATCACACACACACTCACACACACACTCACACACACACACACACACACACACACACACACACACACACACACAGAAACACACACACACACACAGTCAGATGAGTACAATGAGAACAATATTGTCGCTGCCCGGGGAACGAACCCCGGATTATTTCCAGTCCCGCTCGAGGTACACCAGACTCCTCAAGGTTCACCAGTCCCTCGAGGTTCACCAGACCCTTAGATATACATCAGACCCCTCGAGGTACACCAGACCCCTCGAGATACACCAGAACCCTCGAGGTATACCAGACCCCTCGAGGTATGCCAGACCCCTCGAGGTACAACAGACTCCTTGAGGTATACAAGAACTCCCCTTGAGGTATACCAGACCCCTGACACTCTAGTTAAGGGGTTCTTAACCTTTTTACCAAGACAGATCCCAATGAATTGCCCAGTACGTCCCTATAAATATTTCACCAGATTGTCAAAATCATCATCATCATTATCAACAGTCCTATTACGTTCCAGTATGACTTCAAAAGATGTTAACAGCTAGCAACAGAACAGCAATAAGAAAATCATAAAGATTTTATCATATATATTTATAGAAACACGGCACATTGTTCAGACATCCAGTACCATACCCTTATTATTTGGTTTCCATGATCCCAAAGGGTATGGAAAGCTCCGGTTAAGAACCCCTACTCCAGACCTCCCCACCACTACGCATAATTGCACTGATATTTGTACTGCTTAGCTGATGGTACGCAACCGGTGCTATGTAGGTGTCTCCTACATAGCACCGGTTGCGTTCGAAAAAAGGTAAGCTCCGAGAATAATTTCATTCTCACTCCCGTTTGCGTACCATCAGCTAAGCGGTACAAATATCATTGCAATTACGATAACAAGTGGTTTAAAGCATGGAAGAGTACTGCAGCTGGCCGGTGATCACAACCAGATTCCGGGGAAACAAACAACGACCATGACTTCACACCTCCAGCGAAACCACCAGACATGTTTCCTCCAGAGATTTTACTAGACGTCTAGTGTTGTGTGTCGTGGTTGGACGAGGAACTGACAGAAGGAAAGAGATGCACATCAGGAAAATAAGAGACACACCAGGGGAGGAGATACACCAGGGGAGGCAAGACACACCAGGGTAGGTGAATTCTCCAGGGGAGGGGAGACGGGGGGAGAGATCCTGCCAGCGGAAGTGACGTTTCCGGTAGCCACTATGCTAGACAAGTCCGTGTTAATAAACGTTCTTTTTTGGCAATTAAGTAAATGAATTTCCTGGCGTTTTGTTGCAGGATATTCGGGTGTGGACGGTGTGGGCGGTGTGGGCTGGACATCGCACCTCAGGAGCTGGTCATGCGCGCCCTCAGACACGTCTTCCACCTACACTGTTTCACCTGCGCCTCCTGCCACGTCCAACTCCATAAAGGTGAGTGTGTATGTGTGTGTACTTACCTAGTTGTACTCGCCGAGTTGTGGTTGCAGGGGTCGATTCACAGCTCCTGGCCCCGCCTCTTCACTGGTCGCTACTAAGTCACTGTTCCTGCTCCATGAGCTTTATCATACCTCTTCGCGTGTATGTGTGTGTGTGTGTGTGTACTCACCTAATTGTGGTTGCAGGGGTCGATTCATAGCTGTGTGTGTGTGTGCTTTAGGTTAAGAGATTGATCACCTTGCACTTAGGGTGACGGACTGATTACAACATACTCCTTCTCTATTTGCCTTCTTCGTCTTCCATCATGACTGATCTCTCTAAGTGTAAGTAAGTTTATTTAGGTACAGGCACACACAAGCACAATTATCATACATCGTGTTAATTACATACGATAACCCAAAAACGTCAGAGTGACTTATTTTCATTTGGGTCCTTTTGTGTGATTCATCTCTGTATTCGACTGTTGAATCCTGCAGCATGGACGAAACATTTAGTTATTAATGGTTCCTAATATTGTACATATTTCTTATCCATATTTCCTCACCAGTTTTCCATTCAGCCTTCTGACAACCATGGATTAGTGACCTCTTGCTCTCCTGCTCCTACTTTCTTTCCGTTCAGATTTCACTGTCTGTCATATATTTCATTTGCTACTTTCTTTATCATCTCGTGCACCTCCCTGTTACCAGAGAACATTTCTGTAAATGTATTGTTTATTCCCTCTACGCTTTCTTCTGTAACCATATCTTCTCTCGCTATGCCTTCCTACACTTCATTTTTTCTTTCCTTCGTATCCTCTAGTTCCTTCTTCATCTCACTTAGATTCCAGGCTTTCTAACCTTTGTTCCGGCAGGTAAAACACTTTTTTTCGATTCCATGCTTTCTACAGATACATTTTTACCTTTCACTCCATTTCCATGAGAAAATCTTCTTCCATCTTGTATACAGCTCAGCTTCAAATTTTTCAATGTCCACCAACATCCCGATTGTTCCTCCTTAGCTCCCCTTTCTTTTATACTTGGCTTTTGGGTTCTTATTTCTTTGCTTTTCAAGCGTAAAATGTGAGGCAAAATAATTTCTTGTGATTGCAGCATGATCGCTGAATGAATCACTGGTTCCTGCTGCTCTTGACTATTACAATCAGTTCACATAGGTCAGTTGAGCAGAGCGTGCAGATATTTGTGTGTGCTTGTGTGTGACTCGCGAAATCGTAATGACACAATTGCAAGCAAACCATACCATGGGTGGGGTTTGAACCCGCGGTCAGAGAGTCTCAAAACTCCAGACGGTCTGGAGTTTTGAAACTCTCTGACCGTGGGTTCAAACCCCACCCGTGGTATGGTTTGCTTGTGTGTGAGTGTGCACTCACCTAAATGTGGTTGCAGGAGCAAAATCTCTGGCCCGCTTCTACGCTTATTGCTACTTGGTTCAGTCTCTCCCGACTTCGTACCTATTCCTAAAACTATGTATGAATCTTGCCTCTACCACTTCATTTCCAGGTAGTTCTATTGCCTGACTACTCTAAACATGAAGAACTATACACCAATAACCCGCACATAGAAGAGAGAAGCTTACGACGACGTTTCGGTCCGACTTGGACCATTTACAAAGTCACACTAACGAGAAGTAGAGCAGGACGGGTTTATATAGATTGGCTCCTCCTCCTTACTTCCCCATTTCTACTTCCATCTCCGCCACTACTACTACCACTACTACTACCGTTACTACTACTATTACTACTACTACTACTACCACTACTACTACTACTACTGCTACTACTACTACTACCACTACCTCTTCCTGCCTATATATACCCGTCCTGCTCTACTTCTCGTTAGTGTGACTTTGTAAATGGTCCAAGTCGGACCGAAACGTCGTCGTAAGCTCCTCTCTTCTATGTGCGAGTTATTTGTGTATCGTTCCAGTCACGGTATTGTGCCTTTTTTTGTTATTTATGAAGAACTATTTCCTAACGTCCATATGACTCATCTGAGTTTTCTGCTTTCTCTTTCCCATCTCTCAAAGAATCTGCTACTATTTACCCTATCAATTCCTCTCAGTATTTTGTACATAGCCATTATATCCCCTCATCCCTCCAGGGTCATCAGGTTGAGTTTCCCTAGTCTCTCCTTATAGGACACCCTGTAGCTCTGGGACTAGTTTCATTACAAACTTCTACATTTTCTCCAATTTCTTAATATAATTGACCCGTTGTGGGTTTCATATTGGTGGAGCATACTCTAATATGGGCTCGATGTACACGATATACAGAGTAGTGAATGACTCTTTACTTAGATGTCTGAAAGCTAGTCTTAGACTTGCTAGACACGCATTTGCCGCAGCACTTACTTGGTTGATGTACGCCTCAGATGATATGGTAAGTGTAATACTCAACCTGAGGTTTTTTCCTTGAGCGAGGTTTGAAGCCTTTGCCCCCAGAGCCTGTACTCCGTCTGCAGTCTTCTTTGCCCTTCCCCAAACTTCATAACTTTGTACTTGCTGAGGTTGAACACTAGAAGTCATTTATTAATCCAGACCAAAACTCTGTCTGGATCAATTTTTAGCTTTTTCTGGTCCTTGTCTGCTTGTATTCTCCTCATTAGGTTCACGTCATCCGCGAACACTGACACCTCTGATTCTGTCCCTTCCGACATGTCATTCACGTATACAAGAAATAGCACCGGCTCTAGTGCTAATCAGAAAGGACAAAAAAGGCACAATACCGTGACTGGTACAGGTTATTTGTGTCTAGTACTAATAACTGTGGAACCCTACTCGTCACATTCCGACACCCATTCACGGACCATCACCCGTTGTTTTCTTCTTTTCAAGTAAGCCTTGTTCCGTTGTAGTACCTTTCCTGTTATTGTTGCCTGTTCCTCTAGCTTTTGAACCAGTCTCTTACTGTACTGTCTCAAAAATCTTCCTTCAGTTCAAGAAAATGCAGTCTTTCCATCCTTCTCTCTCTCTCTTTCTCTCTCTCTCCTGCCTTGCTTCTGTTACCTTGTCGTAGATCTCCAGTAGGTTTATGACACAGGATTTATCATCTCTAAGGCCGTTCTGGTTGTCATGTATGAGCCCACTCGTTTCTAGATGTTACGCCACTCTTCTCCTGATAATATTCTCCATAACTTTACATCCTGTACATGTCAGTGACACTGGTCTGTAATTTAACGCTGCCTGTCTGTCTCGTTTCTTAAAATTGGGACTACATTTGCTGTCTTCCACACCTCCGGACGTTGCCTGTGTTGATAGACTTGTTTAAGATTGTTTCTAGCGGCACATACAGTGCCTCTGCTTCCTCCTGGTAGAGACAGTATCTGGTCACACCGCCTTCTAGGTATCTAGCTCAAATAGTAGCTGCTTCACCTCCTCACCAGTTGTGTGTATTGTATCTAATGCTTGCCAGTGCTCACTTCTGCTTTGGTTTACTGGTAGCCTTCTTCCTCTGAAATTACGTCCCTAAATCTTTTGCTGAACTTCTCGGACACTTTCTGGCCATTTCACGTGAGCTCCATTCCTTCCTTCTTCAGTCTGATTACTTGATCCCTTACTGTTGTCTTCCTCCTGATGTGGCTAAATAACAACTTTGGGTCAAAATTGGCTTTCGATGCTGTACATCACAACGAATATCTCCGGAGGGGTAAGATTTCTTCGGAGGCGAGCCTTAGGGATTATTTGTATTTGTTGTAATCTGCATTGGTATACCACATTTTCAGCGTCCTTTTAATTTCCTTTTAACTTTCCAAAACTGTATTCTGGTTAGCATGTTCCTGGATTCCTGGTCCTTGTCCATGGGTCAGGAGGGTGAAGGGGATGGTGTGAGTTGAGGGTTTGGGATGGGGGTAGGTTATTTGCCTTAGAGGGGGCAAGGATGCTGGATGTAGACAGGGATGAGTGAGGAGGCTACGGTTAGGGAGGCCTGGGGTTTGGAAGTTGGGGTGATAGGAAGTTGTGAGGAAGGTATTTTTGCTGGGAAAAAATATGGACTGTGGGTGTGGGGAGGGGAATGGAGAATGATCCATTTTGGGTTAATGTGTTTGGGTTGTAGAGGTACTAGGTGTTGAGGGAGGTCTGTTGGTGGGTGTTCCTGGAGAATCTCCTAAGGCTGAGCTTGAATATTTTTCAATGCATACACATCTCTCCTTCCTGCCTTTAGCGTAATTGCACCTTTGCTATTAATTGCTCCTGTTCCTTCCTTGATCTGTCCGGGTTGAGGTACACACCCGGTAGTGTGTATGTGTATTGCTCACCCATTTGTGGTTGCAGGGGATGAATAACAGATTCTGGCCCAGTCTCTTCGCTGGTCGCTACTAGGTCCACTCTCTCCCTGCTCCATGAGCTTTATCGTATTTTTTTTTAATCTGTGTATGGATCCTGCCTCCACGACATCACTCTCTAGACAGTTTCACTTCCTGACAACGCAATGACTGAAGAAATACTTCCTAATATCTTTGTGACTAATCTGAGTTTACAACTTCCAGCTGTGATCCTTTGTTGCTGTGTCTCATCTTTGAAACATTGTGTCCCTATCTACCTTGTTAATTTCTCTCATTATTTTATATATTGTTATCATGTTTTCCCTACCCCTCCATTCCTCCAGTGTTGTCAGGTTGATTTTCCTTAACCTCTCTTCATAGGACATACCCATTAGCTCCGGGAGTAGTCTTGTTGGAAAGTTGTGAAAAAAGACACTTATGTACAGTTCAGGATATTTATTAAAGGAAACGTTTCGCCACGAGTGGCTTCTTCAGTCTTAATGCAGAGAAAACTAAGAAAACGCGAATATATAGTGGCAGGAGTCAGGTGAAGTGACGCGTGGGTAGAGGCGGTAGTAGTAGTAATAGTAGTAGTAGTCGTAGTGGAACTAAGGTGGTGAGACGGATGTCCTGTTGACATCATGTAACAGCAGTTTCCAGAATGGGTAATATTCTGTTGATTAGCAGTTTTGAGATACTGTAACTACCGGACTTTTGTGCAAAGAAAGGTATAAA